ATCTCAGATCACAAAGCAGAAAGATAAATTTTCTTACATTTATTTAAATGAAAGACTAACATCCAGCCCACATGAACATAGAAAACTCTGTAAAACAGCTATCTAGGCCTTGTTATATTTCCACCACAGCAGAGCATTCTTCCACAACACAGAGCAGCAGCTCTGTTGTGTACATGATAGCTGAATCACCCTACAGGTCTTTTTAAAAGGGATAATTGCCCAGCCCACACACACAGAAAGGGCTACACAGCAATACTAACAAACAATATTATGTTTCAATATCTGAAATGACTTTTTTTCCTTCCAAGGTCATTGACACTGGTCACTGAAAATGCAGCCCCAGTACCAAACTAAGTTATTTGGGTGTACTTCACACTTGGCCCATTCATACACCCTTGGGCTTCAATGGGCTGACCTGCTCTTACTACCCTGTTTACCAACAAATTTAATCAACATCTAAGCCAATTGTCATTCTCTCCCTACAGTAGGGAGTCCTGGGAATTGGGTGGGTAGACCTGCTCTCCAGAGGCCAGGTCTACCAAGATAGTGGAAGGGGGTGGGTAGACCTGCTTTTCAGAGGCGAGGTCTACCAATATAGTGGAAAGAGGTGGGTAGACCTGTTCTCCAGAGGCCAGGCCTACTAATACAGTGGAATGGGTGGGTAGACCTGTTCTCCAGGGGCCAGGTACACCAATACAATGGAAGGGGGTGGGTAGACCTGTTCTCCAGTGGCCAGGTCTACCAGTACAGTGGAATGGAGTGGGTAGACCTGTTCTCCAGAGTGGGGGGCCTTGGAGGCCTCCTCCCGTCCGTCCAGCTCTCCGGGCAGTTGGGAGAAGGTGGCGCGGTAGGGGCTTGGAGACCTTCTCCTGTCTGTACAGCTCTCCGGGCGGGCGGAAGGTGGCGCGGGGGGGCTTGGAGGCCTTCTGTCCATCCGGCTCTCCAGGTGGGTGGGAGAAGGTGGCGCAGGGGGGCCTTGGAGGGTTTGAAGGTAGCGCAGGGGGCCCTTGCAGGGTTTGAAGGTGGCGCGGGGGGGCCTTGGCCTCCCAGTCACCTCAGAAGCCAGCTGGGGGGTTTGGAAGACAGACCCTACCTCCTGCATGGCAAGCAAACGGCACAGCTGCTCCTCGCTGATCTTCTCCTAACGGCTCAACAGTCGTTCGGCTGCTGTTGAGGTAAAGGGAATGTTGGGATTGTTGGCTCTGTGGACGGGACCCAGGCACAGCTTCTGATGGGCAGTTCATGGGGCCAACCTATTTTGGCGCACATAGAACGTTGTGGGACCAAAACTCAATTATATATAAGGACATGATTTATACCCTGACTGTGAGCTAGATTAGGCTTAGAATGTGTGTGGTGAAATTTACCTCTGGCACAAAGGACTGCTCATGAGATTATGGGACAAGGTTACACGGCTCTACTTCCCCCTTTCATCTTTACTTTTTGACATACTGGAATGGGGGGAGAACTTGCATAGGCACTTCCTCTGCACCCTCCCTGCACCAAAACAAGAGATGCCCAGCTAGCAAAACAACCAAACTAAATACTAGAACTTGAAAACATCCAGTGAAGCTGATGGACAGTAAATTCAAGGCAGATGAAAGGCAATACTTCTTTACCCAACGAGTGATTATAATGTGGCCAGAAATGCAGTGATGGCCTCAGGCATACACAGCTTTAAAAGGGAATTAGATTCATGGAGGACAGGTCTATTAGTGGCTACTAGCCATGGTAACTAAAAGGAAGCTCCATCTTCAGAGACAGTAAATCTTTCAATACCAGCACCAGGAGGCAACATCAGGGAATGGTCTTGGCCTCAATGCTCTGTTGTCAGCCCTCCAGAGTAATGAGACAGGATGCTAGACCAGATGTACAGCAGGATTCATGTGTTCTTATATTTTCCTTGCCAGGAAAGCAGCAAAATCAGGCCACCATTAAACAAAGTAAATTTTTACATACTAGGGGACTCTCCAGGGATGCAGAAACAATGTCTTCTTAAATTAACTAAAAGAAAGAGAAACAACTTGGAAACAACCTGATGAGAACTGAATACAATCCAGGAGCATGGAACGTTAAGAATAGTTGGATTTCAGTTAAAAGGAATAAAGGGGGAGGAGGTTTTGGGGAAAGGCTTCCAATTCTTTTCCTCAAGGGTCCCCCGGCATCTCCTCTCTTATTTTCAAATAACAGGTTTTTCCTAAGGAGGTCCAATGTCACTGACAGCTGGTCAGTAACTTTCCTGGATTGAGATCCAGGTGGGTAGCTGTGTAGGTCGCTGTGTTGGCTCATACCTTGGATAAAACTTTGTTGGTCTTAAAGGTGCCACTGAACTCAACTTTGTTTCCTGGATTTAGAAAGGAATTTTCTTCTCCCCACATGACTGGTGATGCAGAGAAGGCTCTTAACCATAGCCTCAGGAACCAGAGATCTTCACAGCTAAGCTCAAATGACAATATTAGTTGCTAATGCAGTACCTGTGCCATATCCAGACAAGGTCAATCCAGCAACCTTGCTTATTAAGGATCTGTATATCTGCCAGCCTTTGAAATCCTTTCAGGATGAACAACCTGATAGGGAAAACAGCTATAAATTACTAGTCTTCTGGACATCATAAACATGGAAGACAGATCTGTCTTCCAGCCAGTGGTAACAAAGACCTCCTAACCACCTCACTGAGTCTTAAAAGCCAAAGTGTATTTTATACCAAGGATGTATATACTTTGCTTTCTTCTTTGTTTACATATTACATGTGCTCCCTTTTGTCTGGAAGAGCTTTCCATCAAGGACCCAGCTTTTCCTTAGCCAGTTACACTCTCTGGCTGTTCAAGTCCTCAAATGACCCATAACCTTGTGCCTTTTTCTTAATTTTGACAAACAATTTCATGTTTATACTATTTTATTAGGATATTTTTTATTTCTTGGGTATTCTTATTGAACTAAAAAGCTGAATATCAAATAAATTCATGCGCAAAACGTCAACCACAGGGTGCTGAAATACACTTTTCTGAAGATGAAGAATTCTTCGCTTATTTCTCTTTCATACCAAAAATCACAATGTAAATAATAGCAGAGTTGTTATCCCCTGTGGTCCATAGAGCAACACAAAGATCTGTGAATTACTCATATAGTCAGAAAATTATTGCTGGTGAAAGAGCCTCAGATCCCGTTTGTGTAAATAGTACTGATTCAAATGTATCCAAATAAATTGGGATATAACCCTATGGATCTTGACTGTGCGAAGAAGCATTTCATATAGATATTGTACTCAGAGAATATTTAATGGGATTCTATGTAAAAAGTACATCAATAGGTATTTTTCTATAAAGCCATTATAAGAAAGCCAGACATGCAACCATGCACTTTTAAAATAACTCTGACATGCTAGATGGCCCATTGAAATGCTACATGCAGCCGTGTCAGAGAGAAGCTTAAATTAAAAGTGCTAACCTCCTCTCTTTGCAATCTTCTAGGATCTTTTCTAGCCTTTCTCCTCTGCTTTTTCTTATCTTTTTCTTCCTTGACTTTTCCTTTGTCTATTTCTGAAGTACGTGCTGTGTGAACACTCACTGACCAATCAGAGATGGCATCAGGATTCCAGTAAGGACTTGCAGGATTAGTAGGGAGAAGGAAAGAATTACTTCTTGGGGTTTCATACTCTAGAGAGTTGGTCTCCACAGGCTGAAATTCATAATAATCCCACTCAAGGCCACTGGAGGTCATTCTTCAACTAACGATATGATATTTTACAATATATGTTTAAGGATCAACATCTGTAGAACATGAAGTCAGAATTTTAAATTCTCCACAACACTTTAGAGTTTCTGCATTCTGTTCTAGTTAGGTATTTGCTACAGGGTAGAATTCAAAACTAAAATTATTACTGGTTTTCATGGCTCACTGAAAAAAACAGCAGGACAAGAGGTAGTCTTTGAAAGCCGGGAATATGACTAGCCAACTAACTGAGAGAGAACAGGCAATAAAACTGTGATCCTAAGCACTGAAAAAGTTCTCTGACACGAAAGGGAATTATAAATTTCTTAGAAGTCATATAAATAGTTGTTGTTTTTTTTAAAGTAGCAAAAGTAACCAAACTCCACAGGGATTTTATCTGGAAAAAAAGGCAATTTGGCTATTATATTTCATATAAAGCCGGGGAGGGGGGGAGATTCAAATGAATAAGCCTTCAGTGCACATCTTAGATAAAATACACCTTTTTGCTTAAACTCACTTGAGTCTCCCATCTCTCACACAAACACCGTCTGCATAAGTTTTTTCCCTTCCTGTTTTTGTGTGTTGGGGGGGGGGGGGGTTGCACCTTGCACAGATTTTACGACCTTAACTGCGAATAGCTTGAAAATATCAGGACTATCAGTTAATGCTTCTTCTGATCACAAGGTAGTAAACCCACGAATGGAAAGGAATACCCCTCAAATTAAAATGGCCAGTAATTTCTATGCCAGAAAACACTTTTGTTTCACGTAGTGGGCATGGTGCCTGAAGTGTGTGCCTGAGAGGAAATGAGTCCAAACAAACATCATCAATAAGGCAAGTAAGGGTTTTTTGAGGGAGGTATTTCAATTCCCTCTAAAGGTCTAAGTTTTGCACTAAATATTTGACTGTATACAAGTCAAGAGCTAATTCAGGACTCCTAAAACAAAGGACATCATACGATTTTTTTAAAATACAGAATATGTTTTTTACACTATATACATCAGCTGATTTCACTTCAGCACTATGCTTTTCTGCCACTTGCAGACATTTTTTAAAGAGATTTGGGCCTTGAAAACAAGCCCCAAGGCATTCATCTACAATGCCATTGTCTTTAACTATTCCTCCCCTCATGCTGACCTATAAAGCTTCAGAGAACGCAAACAAAGCAAACATCTGTTCTAAACAGAAGCAGACTCAAAAGGAGACAACTTGTTGCCTGGTCTTTTTGGAATACTAATGTGGAGGAGGGGCTTTCCTCAGGGTAAGAATGGTGGTTTGCAGCTACTCACATCATCCTGAAGGTCCACATCACAGCCTGCCTTGAGTAAAATCTGGACAACGCCAAGATGGCCCTTGTGAGCTGCAAGATGGAGAGCTGTGCGCCCATGCTGTAAAGCAGAAGAAAGAAATTGCTGAAAAAAACTCAAAGCCAATTGCTAGTGCACAGATTGCTATTAAATAAGAGTTTAACAGCATCACAACACTAACACATTTATAGATGTGTGGCCTTTTCTTAATACTCCTCTTCCTATACCTCCATCTAAGATTATCAGATGCCCCATTTTCAGTATTTCCTTCTGGTCACACAGCATACAGTGGAAAATCCTAATTTGAGCACACCAAAATGCCACAGATCCTTATCCTTTTATCATTTTTGTCTGAGAAACTTACCTCCCCATAGAAAGCACTCTCTCCAAGCAGGGGTGGTCTTGGTCAGTGGCAACAGGAGCATCTTCCCCAGGCCCCACACTTGGCATAAACCCAACAACCCAGAGCCCTGGCCCCAAAAAGAGAGGGAAAAGAAGACAATAGCAGGCTCTGCAGCCGCTTGCCCTGGTCCTGTCTGGGGTGTGGACAGCTGGCCTCCAGTGGAAGCACTGGCTGCCACCCACAGCAAACAAGGGGAGACCCACCCATTGCTTGTCCCTGGCAGGGGGGCTAAGTGGTGGAGTGGTAGTGATTATGGGGCCCTATCCTGGACTTTTTCCCAGGGCCCCAGAATCTACGGTTGTCAGGTCCCTTCAAGACACCAGCAGGGGAATGGGGGAGCTCCAGGAGCCAGACGCATCACCCTGATGTGCTGCTGTCACCAGAAGCTGGGGGCGATACTCTGGTTTTTGGGCAAAACTCTATGGTAAAATCGCCCTCAAACCATAGAGTTTTGCCCAAAAATCAGAACGTTCCTCCCATGTCACCGACGTTCCTACGTCACTTCCAGGTGACATAGGCACGTCGCTCCACATTGCTGTTGGTGGGGGATTTCCTCCCGCAGGCCAGCTGGCTAGCAGCGGACAGGAGCCCACAAAATTAGGAGATCCCCTGCCCCAAACTGGGGACTGGCAACCCTACCAGAATCACTAAGACTTCCCCTGCCTCCAAGGAGCAAATAACTACAAATGCTGACAGGTTTATCAAACTGAAGCTATAATACACACCTTTAACTCTGCCACAGAACTTAATTGGACTTTAGCATATATAACTCAATTGGATAGTACTAGTATTATTATATTTTACAGGCCTCATTCTTTTTAACTGCACATTCTTTGGAGGGGGGGAAGAAATCACTAATACCCATCAAGAATTTCTGTGGATGTTGAAACGACAGAAATAGAATATTACAACTACAGATCACATGAAGTACAATGGACAAGATGAATATATGATGAACAATTTGAAGATGACACAAAAATTACAATTTCTTTTAATTAATCAGGGATATAAGGTTTTTTTGCAATTTAGCTATTACCTTTTCAGGAGAATGACATATTTATACAATGTGTACCAGTAAAGAAACTTAGCTGAATTATTGCTCAATATGTCCAAAAGCAGAATTCTACCAAAATAAAAAGGGGGAGGGATAGTTTTTTCCCAAAGGAAGAAAAAATAAAATAAAAGGTGGATGTATGGTACTAAATTAAAAATTCATATAAGTGTAGGGGTACCCAGGGTTCAAATGATTGTCTATTGATTATTGCTAGCATTCCAGGACTCTTCGGGGGGGAAAGATTCTTCGGGATTCTCCCGGGAGAGTTGGTAAACTGTTTAAACCACTAAACAGCTTTATAAAGACAGGTGATTTAATTCATTTTAATTGACAAGGGAGGTTTTTCCTAAAGGTAAAATCTGAACTGGAGACTTCCTGGTTCATACTTAAACCTGCATTTTAAAGCCACCTTTCTTCAAGCCAGCATTTGTAAAGCTGCAATATGGAGGCAACTGATAGTGAAAGTCCATGATAAGTAGGGTTGCCAAATGCATTTTGGCTGGGAGCGGGGGGCTCCCGGCCGGCGTCTAATTTGTGCATGCGTGTGCGCCGCGTGCGCATCACCTGGAAGTGACAAAGAGTTTCCCCCTCAAATGGCGTGGCCCCACCCCCAGCATGTGACGTCACTTCCAGGTGACACGCGCGCGGGGGTGGGTGGGATTTCCCCCGGGCCCGATTCCGTGTGGGGCGGAAGTCGGGCCTTGAAAGCGGGGGGAAATCTGCCCCCCAGGGGGATTTGGGAACCCTAATGCTAGATTACCTTTCTGTACATGCCACCATTAAAACAGCACAGCCACTATGGTTTGATGGCCTTCTTACTCACCAAACATATAAAAATTGGCTTATTTTCCTGTTAGATATCATAGGATTCTGTCAGCAGAAAGAAAGGCCAGGAGCAGAGGCAGGAGAAAATGACACAGAGCCAGACATAACAAATCAAGGAGTTGAGCTTGTCAGGAAATAAAAAGGGAATAAGTAAACAGCATGGTGCTGTTTGCCTGTAGGGCCTAGAAAGAGATTTATGTGCTACCATTAACCAGAGGACCAGGAAGAGGTCCTACCAAGCTGACAAGAATATCCTGAAAAAAGAGAGAATGAATACAAATAGTAAAAAATTGGGGATGGGCTTGTGAGATAACAATACAGAGGGGGGGTGAGCCTATGTCATAAAGGTACTTTCATCAAAAACCTAAAAACAAACAAAATTAAGTAATTACTGGTCCAGAAATACTTTCAGAGTCATCGCTTTTGCTTACCTGGTATTGTGTTTGTATCATCAATTTGTATCATCAAGTATATCTAATTATCAATGTGGCCTCACAAATCTGAAATCTGAGGGGGAGGATATTAGGGAGTGACCCCACCATGACAGAAGCAGTGCTTGTAGCTTTAAGAAATGGATGGCCTCTGAGTGGCCATTATGGGGTTTGATAGGCAACCTGCACAATATTGCCAATCTTCTATTTCTATCAGTAAAAGGTAGGGGGAAGGGGCAGCTTCTCCAAGGCTGTTCTGGCCATGCAGGCCACCCCTGCTCCCCCACTCCCTGCCCTGGAGAGAGGACTCACTGGGGCCCAGCCTAGCAGCAACCACCAAGCGACTCACACGACCTGCATGAGTCATCCAGGCCCAGCAGCAACTACCTGGTAACTGACTATTATTTAATAGCAGCCACTGTGTGAAAGCCAGTGTAGTGTCGTGGTAAGTGTCGGATTAGCATCTAGGACAGGGGTGTCGAACTAGGACAGGGGTGTCGAACTTGGACAGGGGTGTCAACCTTGCTGGGCCGGGCCATGTGTGTCATAAAATGTAATGCCAGGTACTGGAGATACAAACTTTATAAAGGTCACAGACAAACACAATTAATTTTTTTTAAACTTTAAATAAAGGTTTTTAAACTTTATATAAAGCTTTTAAAACGTTAAATAAACACTAGCAGTCTTGCAATATTTGTGTATTTAACAGTCTCTGATAACTGACACCTCTGCTCTGAATTGTTGCATCAAAATGTCTGTGCTGTAGCAATCTTGAGTATACTGTTCAGGTGTGTATCTGTAAGCTGTAAAACTACTTTTGATTTATTGATATTTATTA